TTCATTTCAGCTCAATTCCTAATGAATGCATAAAAGTAGTAAATTTTATCAACACGTTCTACACGAATCCCCAGATACGTGTACAACTGTAGTAACCACCCGAACCATCGTCCTATTGACGGCATCGCCTCAACAGATGGAAGACCCACACATGAGATACCTTTGTAAAACATGCATAGAACATATAATTACTCCAGCATCATATAAGCATTCACCCTAGATCGGCGGTGTATCTGATCATGCTCTCACAACTCACACTTACCGAGGCGTAGAGGTAAATGATCCATACATTACCATTCAAACAAGTGGCACTCATACAATAGCACGCCGTATGAGCGACGAAAGAGAAATATAATGCAAGAACCCCAAGTCAGTACTTAATTAAGCCACCTAAAGTCCTTAACTGAGCATAAAGGATATGACCACTGACACACTTTATAGTTTGAAAATCACATTTTTCAAATGCCTTTTTGTTTTAAATACACTTGTGAACAGTAACACGCTAAACCATGCTCTGATGCCAGCTGTAACAGAACCGACCAATTATACGAAATTAAGTAAGAAAATCATCCGCCAGAGCAGACGATTTAGCAAACTTAAGCCCGTATAACCCGGTAGTCCGTGAAATCACGAAGGATTTCAAACCAACTTCCATTCCAGCCAAGATCGTAATAAGTTTAGCGGTCACCATCACATATTACATAAAAAATTGCATCTCAGATACATCAGAGTTTAAACATAGTTATTACAAAACAAGTTCAATTAAAAGTAGCGGAAGCCATTTGTTCAAACCACACACACTCACACGGAGTTCAAATACAGTGCCAGCGAATGATCATCTCCAACAAAAGCATTAGACGAGACGTAAGGAATGACCATGCCCATGGTCCTAAGCATCACCCATCGCAGGATAAAGGCAGTTGATACAGTAGACGTAATACATCTGCCCATCTGCAACAAGTGAGAATAAAACCCTGAGTACGAGAAGGTACTCAGCTAGACTTACCCGACATAACCGAAAATAAGTGACACCAAGGATTATGAATGCTTTATAGTAGGGTAGCTGACTCATTTGCTAAGAAAGCATTTTTAGCATTTCAAGAACCCTTCTAAAAGTATTATTGCCAAATTAATTATTTATAACCTGTCGACTAGATTTGCACCTACACTAGAGCAAACATGTGATTAAGCAGATAATAATAACCAATGATCATTAAACAACTTCCATACTGTCATATTCATTATAACTATCCAAGTGTTCCATAAACATTTACTACGATGAAGTAACTCAAGTCAAGTGCTCACTATCTAGGAGCGATGACGATTCGAATCGATTCCTAACCAGCTGGTGATTTATTCCTTACACAAACCACACTCACCCGCTAAAGTGAGATATTGATCACCGAGTCAACTATCCAGGTATCTCGAGTTTGCCAGGAACCACATGTACCCGGGGGCCGACCGACTGCACTTTGGTCTTATCATCTCGCCCCCGTGTCCTACCACACCTGCTCCGGCACAGTGCGCTGCGGGCAATCTACTCGGCCCGAATAATCTCCTAGCTTCGCGGTCGGAAGGTACTTTATCCGGCTAGCTAAATATAAGGCATACGTTCAACATGACTCGAGGCCCAACAACGGTCGGTCCTTAATCGACACAGACGGAAAACACTACAGTCTAAAACTCTGCAAGTCTCCGTCCGGTCTCAACTTCATTTAACACTAAGTTATACCATAATTTCATAGTCATCCAAGTAGATCCAGGTAACCACCTATAGCTCGCAGGTGACAGGAAATCACCCGACTTCTACCGGTCTAAGCCAGCTAAGCATTGACTCGACTGCGGATACCAGGGTAACAAGGATATAGTATAACAAAGGTAAACAAGGTATAATGCAGCAACGGTTGCAAACAACTCCTGAACGTAATGCATCAATTAAAGTAAAGCATTTAATTAATAATTGCAAACCGGGAGAAAATGCTCCGGGGCTTGCCTCTCTCGAAGGAGCTCGGGCGGTGATCGGGGCACTCCGGAAGTTCCTCAACGTCCTCCTCGTCGGCTTCGGACACTTCCTACGGCTGCACCTCGGGCTCCTCGGGTATGACGACTTGGTTCTTGGTTTACGATCCTGTATGATGTAATGTGCGTAAGTGCTTATGCAATCGGTGCATCGAATGAGATAAATACAATGGATATGTTTAAATGCAAGGTAGTCAACATCATCCAAGAACATATACTACGAGCACATGTCATCTACTGCATTCTCTTCTACTACTAATATGTTAAGTCAACACATCTTATTGAATGCTTCAAAGATACACCAAAGCTTCACTAATTTCTTAATCACACTTAAAGCAACACTTGCTTAAACCCTAATTAATAATAGGTTTGAATAGCAACATCTATTTTTATTGCTTAGAAAAATCTTAGAAAATTATCATAGCACAATACTACCCTAAGTAGTCTACTATCAGATTTTCATGGTATTTGAATGAGTGGATTAGCCTACACAAAAATAACAAGCTATGGCACGATTATGAACAGGAAAATACTTTGTACTGTGAAAAGTGTCAAACAACAGAGTTAGCATTTTTCCTATGATCTTTATAGCATACAATCACTGTACAAAAATTATCACATGCATGTTTTATACAAAGTTTGCTCTCTAGCAAAAATAACAAAAATCAGCCATTAAAGATACTTGAACTACACCTCAAAATTTTCCTACAGCACTTGCATGAAACATATTTTTCCTAGGAAGTACATTACATAAGAAGATCAACAAACTTGGAATCATATTTTTCTAAAGCCTATAGGTTTTTCTACATATTTTTTAAGTTATCAGCAATATCCATGATTAAAAAAAGTTCTACAGAGAAGTATCCCAAAAATGATATGCAATAATTTTTCCAAGTAGATCTGATGATAAAGAACCTAGAAAAATTTATTTCAACAGATTTAGAGCAAATTTGAGTATCCAAACATTTTCCAAACAATTTCTATTTTCAAATAATAAAGAAAAATTAAAAACGAATTTTCCTATTGCTACTGGGCCGGCCCGCGGGAATCAGGCGGCCCACTGTCACACTTGGCCTGTGCGGCCCGAGCGAAGAGAAGGGGGAGGCGGCCTGGCCGGGCGTCGGCCCATGGCCTCTCGGCCCAGCTCGGCCTAGGCGAAGGCCACGCCGGCGCCGTGACACCGCGGCGGCGCGGCTCGGCCAACGAGACCGACGGCCATTGCCGGCTGTGACAGGGCGAGCTAGCGGGCGCATGCGGTTCGCGAGAAGCTGGCGAAGGCGGGAAGGTAACTAGGCAGGGTGGAGAAGAGCAGGAAGGGTGCCTTCCACGGTGGCCGAGCACGGCGGTGCCATGGCCGACTATGGCGAGGCGCGAGAAGGCGCTACCTGAGCTCGACAGTCGGCACAAGCGTGAGCACCACGTGTCGGAGAGCGAGGCGGAGCTGCGGGCGCACGATTGCTGGCCGAGGTGGAGGAGAAGCGGCGAATTTGGCCGGCGGGTGCGGTGGCGCGGCGAGGAGGAGAGTGGGTGAGCTCGGCGCTGGCGGAGAGGAGAGGCAACGCGGGAGAGTGCAAGCGAGCGCAGTGGCTTTAGCAGAAGTAGGCGGGCGCGTGGGCGCGGGCGCAGGCCGGCTGCGACGCGCGGCGGCGTCGACGGCGCATGGCCGCCACGCGGCGGGCGTGCTCTGCCGCGGTCGGCGCGTGTGCGAGCGGCGAGCAGGGGAACGGCGCGGGGCTGGGCTGGCGAGGCGCGCGGCAGGCGGGGACGCGGGCCAGGCCGGCTTCGGCCGTGGGCCGGGAAGCTGAGCGGCGGCCTGTTAAGCGAAATGAAATTCTTTTCTTTTTATTTCTCAAATAAACAGAATTAAATTCCCATTTTTGAGCCATTTAAAAACATTTTCATGAATTGGTGCAAAAATGAAATTTGTTCCCTTTTTCAATATCTACAACTTTGATTTTATGAGCAAAGTCAAATTCTTGATAGATTTTGAATTACAAAATCAAAGTCAATGTTTAACTCAAAACCCTAATTTTTTGGGAATTATTTTTGAAGCAAAATTTTGAATTAATTTGAATACAAACCTTGCTCCAAAAATTGAACTAAATAATTCTAGATGATTTACAATAGTAGCCAAGCATGTTTTACTAGCCTAGCAAACATAACCAGGGCAAAAATAACTCTAACAAGTGCATGCAACATTCAGGTTTAACAAACATGTTTCGTATGTTTCGAAGTAGTGTTTCAGTTGTTATTTACATGATTAGGCATGTATGATTAGGATACTTGATGATGCATGATATGCATGATTTGCAGTGCCTAAATGCTGGCATAACACCGGGGTGTTACAACCGCCTCCTCCACCGTCTCCCTGACCCCAACCGCCGCCCCCGCCCCCGCCCCATCCACCGCCATTCCCCAGGCCGCGACGGCGGCTAGGGTTTGGGAGCGCTCGCCAATAAGCACGCTCGCGGGCAGGCCGCCGCTGCACCGAGGGGGTCCGCGCGCCTGGGGGGCAGGCCGCCGCCGTGCCTAGGGAGGTAGGCAGCCAGGGCGCCGCCGCACCCTGGTGCCGGCCGCCGTTGTTGACGACCGTGAAGTCATCGCTCCTCCTGTGGGTCTGCTTCGAACCTTCAACTGCGAATCCCCATTGCCATGCCTGTGCCCTAATCTGAATCCGAGTGCCTGCATCACACGACCCTCCTTCGGCTTCCAATCCCCATCGTCGTGCTTCCTTGCTGGACCTCCTCAACTCTCAGTCCATCCGGGTGTTGATTTCTACCCCATTGTTTCCTCTTGTTAGTTTCTTGCTAATGATTTCATGGATATGCAATTCTGGATACATTTGCCATTTGGTATTGCCGTATTAGTACTCATGCAAGTCGTTTTGTCATATATTGTACTGCTTAATTTAAATTAGTGTGTGCATATGTGCGGTATGCTGATTGTTGTGCCTCTATTCTTTTGACTTTGTAGTGCCTAATTTAAATTAGTGTGTGAATATGGTGATCAGCAGATCCAACCTGAAATATTGTAGTATCTGATAAGTAAACAAAATAACATTTTGATTGGAAAAAGCAAAGTCAATATAAGCTAAGAAATGAAGCAACATACGGCAACGTAGAAGTTTGATCCAGGATTATATTTAACCGAGCAAATATTTGCTTTCATATCAATATTGATCACGCTTGCTTCTTGTTTTGTGCACCACACTTTCACCTGGCATACACAGCACTAACTTCCATTAGTATCGCACAAACATTGTAATAGAACAAAAACTTGAAGCCACTATTTTAGTGGGTTCCACCTATGCATCGATGAGACTGAATAACACATTTGCACTAAGAGGGACAATGTGGAGAAAGAGGGGGAGGGGGGGAGAGAGAGAGAAAGAGAATTTAATATTCACTGTGACCATCTGAAACTACTATCATTTCTGCAGTGAGTTGTCTGATAAAAGTGAAAGATCCACCACCCAGGTCGTAATGTAACAAGTGATTTTGGTACTTGACATTTGAGAAAAAATCACCAAGCTTTTCTTTCTTAGTTTGGTAAAGGGCGAACGGAATTGAACCATATTAATTTCCAAATACCTTGCAATCGTCACTCCCAGATACTAGCATTGAAGGGTCTGTACGAGAAAAATCAACACTCCATGCCCTCTTCTCATGCTCTTCATATTCCATCACACTCTAGCATGGCACAATACACAGAGACCATATACCTCAGTTTGAATTATAATACAGTCGGTGCAGAATTTACTGTAGAATAGAGAGTGGATACCTGACGGGTCTGGACATCCCACACAGTTACTATACCCTCATAGTCACTGCTTGCAATAACATTTTTTGAGTACTTGTTCCAGCTTAGGCAGCTAAGTTTAGATCTGGTAGCCATTTCAACAACCGGGCAATGCACATCAAGACTTTAATACGTTTCGAGACTCCAGCAGTAGCAAACAGTTCATCATCACGATCAAATTCAATACTGCAATATAACAAAAATATCAAATGTCCATCCCTATTTGCTGTAAAATAAAGGAGACGTAGTTGATTGGCAAGCACATAGAACTGGAAATAATTGTGCCCCAATGTGCTCCACTTTGATGAAACCCTACTTTCACATGTATTGTATAATAAAATTAGATGTTCAAACCTAAAAGCTGCTTACATGCAGCCTGTTCGCTTGCTCGTAAACGATCGTAAATTTCCAGCCGGGAACAGTGTTTTTCTCTCACACCAAACCAGCCAACAATAAATAATCCACGATACGATACGGCCTCCCGAACAGGCTGATGTTTGCTTTAATGGAGCTGATTTTCCCACATTAACCAGAGTAATGATGAAAAGACTTAACTTCTTATTTGGTAGGTAGGCCCAGATTATAAGGTGAGAGAAAAATAAACTTTTATGGCCCTTGATTTTGGTACCTCCAAAATCATAATCGGTGATAACTCTTGGAGGACCATAAAAGCTTCATTAATGATTTATATTTTATAGTGTAGGCATAGATATTTAAACTCTGATGACCAAAACTCAAATTTATCTATCCATGCAAGTGCACTGGTTCTGCTGCTAGTTATATTTTAAAGCATAGATAAGAAACTGTGTTTACATTGGACTACAAACTACACACCTGGATACAATATTGGCAGAGTGAAACAAGTTTCCATGTCTTAGTTCCGCAATGACACGTAGACGACTGAAGTAAACATGACAACAAACAAAATGAGCCCAGTGAGAATGGAACAAAGACAACAAAGCATATTGTCTCATCACAGGAGATAACCACACCTGTATCGAGTGAACGTTGTTAGCACAGACTGGAAATCCTGAAGACCTGCATGATAGCCTTCTCTATTCATTGCAACGTTATCTCTTTCTTCTTGCCTGCGGGCCTGTGCTCCCGTGCGCCGTCTTTGCAGGTAGTATTCTTGAAGCTCATTGAACTGCAATGTTCCTCATAGAATTAGATAAAAAATAAATGACATAAGATTAGTGCCGTTTTATCTAACACTAAAGTAAATGGCCATGTGTGTACTGTACACTGTTCAAAACTTGTATGCAACACATAAGAGGCCTACTTTTTGGGTGTAATGTGGGGGGACACTGCGCCTTAAGGAATGTAGTAATGCATGGAGTGAGAAACTCACCTGTGCTTGAACTCGCCTCTTCCTAGGTCCTAGCAATGACATTACCCGATTGTATAGGGGGGTTAGGAGGGTCAGAAGAAGCTAGAGCATCTCTCCTTTGAAATCCTTGATGGCTTACTTGAGCTTTCAAATCAAGCTTCTTATTCTGTAAACTTCCTGGACATGATGCGCTAAGTGGTGTCCGAGAGTTGGGAGGAAAGCGACAGCCAGCTTTGTCTATAGGAGAGGGCCACATTTTTTGTGCAGTAGGCTCATCTAAAAGCATGCGCAGCTTCATGGAGTACCTTTCTTTTGTGCGATATAATTCTTTCCTATGTCTCTCCACAGCACTTATATCCTCTTTGATGTATTGTAGATCAGTTTGAATCTAACAGGCATACAACATATGCATATCGCTTGTTAATGGGGTCACAAATTACAACAGCTATGACAGGAAATATGAAGTCATACAACTAACAGGCAACAAGTAAACACATATATCAAGAGCACCTAACTGAAACACCAAGATTTACACGTTACGAACTTGCGATTATATTACTACTAGATTCACATATGCAAAGATGGCGTCTGAGCCAACCATATAATGCATGGTTTATCATGTGAACAGTCAATCATAAGAGGATAGAACATAGACAGCAGCTGCAATCATAAGGGGAACAGAGCCATTATTCCCAAATAAGTAGTCTAAAAACTTCCACTTCATTTAGCCTCAGAAAAGTATTACCGTGGGAAACTTGCAGTGAAACAATTTTACTTTTGACCAACACCTTTACGAATATTTAGATTAGTTGCATGAAAATGATGTTAATAAAGTAATAAACTCCCAAGGTGTTTCCATAATACTGAAGTTTTGATTCATAAAAACACTTATGAGGTAAGTACTTAAGTTCTATACTCTTTACAGAACGGAAATGTCCACTTAGATATGAATTTAGTCGCTACACAAAAGTGGATGCAAGGGAAAAATTGGTGCAGACTTAAAATGTGCTTGTTAAGTGGTGAATGCAGGAGTGAAGTTTGCTTATCATTGAAAGTGGATGCATTAGTGAGCTTTTGGCTGGCCATTATATGTTGCTTATTTGCTTCCTTACTGGTGATTTATTCTTGCATATGCTTTGGGCAAAAGGTATCATAAAGACCCTTGGCATAGGGATTGCCAACCGAGCAGCAGTGTTTTCTATTACTGAAAACATGGTTTTGGGGTGCCGCACTGCGCGGCATGCCAAGGACATCTGGACATTTGCCTCCTAACTGTGAATTTTTTGCTTATCTTTTCTTCTGTCCATCTTGTTTGAGTCATACAGCATATACAGTGGGCTAGTCCTGCTTTCTCTTTGTTTGACTACTACTGCTACAAGTACTACTACTACAAATACTACTACTACTAGTACTACTACAAGTACTACTACTACTAGTACTAGTACTACTAGTACTACTACTTCTACCACTAGTACTACTACTTCTACTACCTATACTACTTTTTTCTTGCATCTCTTAGAACAAGGCACGAAATGTCACGAACATCAAAGAGTGCATCCCGATGCCCCGTGAATGATGAGCAGCCATCCCATGGAGAGCAAGAACTAGATGACCAACTTACTCAGGAGCAGTTCGATAACGAGTTAGAAAAGGGTCTAGAAGTGATGCTTACTCAGGAGGACCTTGTCGATGATGAGGATCCAGTGGGGGGAGCCCAGGGAAGAGAAGGCGGAGAGGATGCCCAAGGCGAAGAAGAGGATGATGATGACGACACCTCATCAGGGGGATATGTAAGTCCCGAGGATCCTTTCCCACGAGAACCCAGACGGAGGCCAACGGAAGACGAGTTGGACAAGGATTTTGATTCGAACGACGAGGTACGGATAAAGCCTTAGTAGCTTGTAAATTTGGCTAATGCTATGGCTTTATGTTACCTCTGCTAACACTTTTGACCTGCCGGATACACAGGTCGTCCCTACTCAACCTCTGAAAAGACGACGTCGGCCTCCGGCTCGTCTTGTCGGACAATACGTAGCGGGGCAAAGGAGATCAGAGGAAGGAGCCACAGATACTCACAATGAGGCATCCGCTCCACAACCTCAGGACACAAGCACGACTGAGACTGCCCAGCCAAAGAGGAAACGAGGGGGGATTAGAAAGCCAAACTAATATCACGACAATGCATGCTATGTGATAACGGAGGTCGGGCCAGACGGGCAGATCCTTGAGCCATATACATACAGGGCGAAATTCCGTAATCACATCGGGTTTGTAGTTAGAGATAAGTTGAACCCAGCTATCCGTGGCTAGAATCTTGTACCTATGAGCCAAAAGGTAGACCTATGGGAGAAGCTGAAGCAGAACTTCAGGTTTCTAGAGGGAACACACGAGTTGGTACAACAAAATGCTTTTAAGATAATGGGGCAGAGCTTCCGACATTGGCGGTCGGATCTGAACAAGAACTTTATCCAACAGAAGTTAACTCATTTCCACGAGTATGGCAACATAACTCCTAATTAATGGGAGGAGCTCGTGGCTGAGAAGACTTCAGAGGCATCATTGGCCCTTAGTGCCCGTAACAGCGAGCAGGCGAAGAAGAACAAACACTACCCTCGTCTAGGCCCCGGTGGCTACGCTGGCAAGCAAGAGGTCTTTAGGAAGATGGACGCAGAGGCCGAAGCTGTCAGGAATACGGAAGTGCCGAAGTTGAAGCCACGCCTTAAACAGTGGATATATGCGAGGAGTGTCGATTCATCCGGTAGTAGCCTCAAGTTTGCTAAGCCGGAGACTGGAGAGGTAGTATCAAAGATACTAAAACTTACTGAAGACAAGGAGAAGGGCGCATTCAACCCTTCCAGAGAGAGGGACGAGCTTATCGTTGCCTTAGGAAACCCTAAGCACACAGGACGCACCAGGGGGCTAGGGAAGTGGATGTCCTGAAAGCACGGATTCATAGAGGAGAGGCACATGTACAAGAAACATGGCAGAGACCGAGAGTCTAATCTTGAGTGCCAAGTGAAGGCTCTAGTTGAAAAGATGTTGGTGGAGAAAGGACTGTCTACGATGGAGCCACAGACACCAATGGGGCCGCCTGGAGAACTAGCGGTAGTTGGCAGCCCTCCAGATGTTCCCAACAGTCAAGGTTCCAATGCAACCGGAACCCCCGTCGATCGCATACGGGCGCCAACCAGTTGCAAATTGGTGGTTCCGATGGGCAGGCAAAACATGATCATTGAGGTGGCAACAGGCATGGCACATCCTCCGGACGGCACGTGGCACAATAGGGACATCCCGCAGGACTACACTCGGGTCGAGGAGCATACCGTGAAGCCCGAGTTCATGACTTGGAAGATAGAACACCCTACTCCCGAGGGACTCGTGTTACTCAGAGACGTCATGAACCAGTTCATCCTCTGGCACAGACGGGACATTGTATTGACCGAGTCTTCGCCAACTTCGACTGAAGTTCATCCTCTGGAGCGACCCGTTGAGGACGGGGAGGTATACTCACCGGCCCATGACCATGACCACCACACGCTAGAGACTTCTCCACCTCGTACCGAGCAAGGGCATGATGACATGCCACATCCTTCTCCACCTCGTACCGAGCATGGGCATGATGACATGCCCCGTCCTTCTCCAGCTTGTACCGAGCAAAGGCATGATGAGTTGCAACATCCATCTCAACAAGCGCAGCCGATACATGAACAACAAGTGTCTCATGAACAGCAATTGCCTCGTGAACAGCCGATACATGAAGAACAAGTGGCCCCTGGAGCAGGTGATGCACAAGTTGACAAGGACATGCCCGAATGGGAAGCTCGAAACAAAATCCCAATCAAGATAAGGCCATCGTATGTGGGCATTAATGACGTCTCATCGGTGCACAAGTAGATGGCCCATGACCAGTTCAAGCCTAAGAACCAAGTAAAAGAATTCAGAGCACCAGCTTCTGAGGAGGGCACCACTAGCAAAATGCACAAAGAGTTTAACAAGTATCCAGCTGTTGATAACCTCAAATGGTCAAATGATTGCCTGGATAAATATGAAAAAGACAAGAACTTCCTACCAAACCGAGTCATACAATGCTTGCCACGTGGAATGAGAAAGTTCCACGATTGGTACTTGCATGCTCAGATAACAGAACTAGAAATCTTACAAGCATGGATCCCTGCCGGCACATTTGGAGCCCCAGGTGGACAAATTGCCGTTGAGTTTAAGGATATCCAGGCATGCTTCCACCTCGGACGAATGGAAATGAATCTAATTCGCATATGGTGCCTGTAAGTCCTTGCCCTCTCGATATGATATGAATGTAATCTTTTAATTTTGTTGTAACTAACCCGCGTTGTGATTTGTAGAATGCAAGCTGACTTTGTGAAAAAGAGACCAGCTCTGAAACACGGGTATATAGACCCTTCACCTATAGCATCAACAAATTTTAATTACCCTAAAGAGTGAAAACTAGATTACAAAGAACTAGGAGCTGAAAAGACACTTAAGGAGAAAGAGGACATCAGGAACAAGAAAATATTGGAAGAGTCCCTTAAGGTTGCGGCATACATTGCTCTATGTTTTAAAAATCTCCAACAACACGATAATATATGGATACCATACAACTTCAAGTAAGTTCGACTGTATACTTAGCTTTGTTCAATATACTTTGTTCGATGCAAAAGAGCTTATGTGTTCCTTCTATGACTAAATTCATGCAGCGATCACTGGATTTGTATAGGCGTCTGGCTCTCACATAGCATGGCATGGGTCTTTGATTCAGCGGATTTCCCAGTCGAGACATACAAAGACTTCATAGCGATTGTCAAGACGTATACATATTGACAATCCTCATTTTAGTTACTATGTTTGTATACATACTTGTAAGGTTCAATGTGGGATACTAACAAGTTGCATTTGCTAAAACCATTGGAACATGGCATTCAGGCATTATGTCCAGGAACATAAGGGGAGGCATCATCCAAATAGGAAGGAAAAGTTGTATGTCAAAACTCTATGTGCGGTAAGTGTCATTTACTTTGGTACTCCATATATTACGTGTCTGTCAA